GTTTTTCCGATCCACTCTCGAACTACGTCTTAATGGTAATTTTTCCTATGTTAATTCTAAGTTTAATTAAATACAGGCCAACTTAAACTAACGAAAAGTTACACTTTCTAGTGACGTCAGTCTTCATTTAAAACAGATGAACATATACAATTGTACATTTACATTCATGCCTTTTGTTTTTTGTGCAAGCGTCGCTTTTTTTAGCTATCTTAAGGTAGTATTTTGTCATTTTACTACTCCTACTGATGATTGAACTTAATGGATACATTTATTTCAATAGATAATAGACACCATTTATTCACCGTAACAGAAGGTAGAGTAATATAATAAACGTCCACGTTGAAGGTTTCCCTTGGTAGTTTCCTGTAATTAATAAAAATTCGTGTAAATAAATGCGATAGGAAGAATCACTTAAATATTCATTGCATAAAGGCACTTGTGGGTAGGACGGGAAAGCATTGCTGGATTTGGTTTAAACACAACACATATTGTCTTTGATGTGCTCTCTCCCAACGTATATAATATTCCCTTTAGAGTCCATCTTGCATTTAGATAAGTGTTGAAAAGTTTCGAGTTTATATATAAGGAAACTCGTTTGGGAGATTTTCGTACGTTCAAACCAATTCTAATTTACACATTTTGTTATACGGACCATCGAAATATGAAAGCACAAGCACGTATTTCTTGTCATACGTTTCGTACGACATAATTCACCAACTAAAAGTTGTCGGAAATGGAATTTTCTCAATTTCCTATGGTTCGCATTGACCTCCTCGGCTAATGTCCGGTATATTTTGATGCGCATTTACGTCAAAACTTTTAATATTAAAACATATTTTTATATTTAAAAAGAACCGAAGTGACACTAAAATTGCCGCTGATTTATTACTATAAAAGTACAGCGATTCTGACAATTTCCCCGGAAGATAATATTATTGCGCATAGCGCCGGGCATGGGCGGGAAGTGTTTCCAATTAATTGTCCTTATGTAAAGAAACTCAAACTTTAACATTTAGCGGCTGAACAAGGAAGATTTGATTTCAACCCTTGTGAAGTCATTGTACCGTGGGCCAAACTCAGGTGTATACAGCAGTAGCGACGAAATTATTTTTCTGTGTACAACCGGTAAAAATTGTGCCAGGTTTTATCACAAAAAAATTGAGAAAAAAATGTCAAAGTTAAAAAACTTCTTTCGGCAAGACAAAAATTAATTCTAATTAGGAATTACCTATTATCGCGATCTAATTAGAATTATTAAGTTAAGGGGTAAACTTTGTTTTTTTTTTCAAATATATCAATAGAATTCGGAATAAACAAAAATAAATACGGTTTACGGTGGTAACGGTTATATACGATAGTTTTGAAGCAAGCATTTATTTTGCATAGAATATATATTTTTTTATCTATTTAAATAATTTAATTTTTATTTAAACAAATGAAAAATTAAAATAAAATGGAATATATTGTATTAGTTTCAGGAATGATTTATGGGAGGTTTAACTAGATGCACGACACGAATTGGGGTGTAGCCGAGGGCGTATAGCGTCAGTTCTTTTAGGCTATCAGTTCCGGTAAAGTGTAGGACAACGTAATGTTTTCAAAAAGAAACCTTGAATATTCTTATTCTACATCGGAAAATAATAAACTTTCGTCGGAAACCTTTTAGTCTAAACTTATTATTTTTTGAAGACACTCTTCTAAAAGCGCTATTCTTGGATTGAGCTAGGAAACTGTTCGGACAAGAATTTGGCAAATGGTTTGGTTAGCGTTTTCTACTTCTTCCCTCTTGACTGGTTCTTCTGCATTTATTTATTGTATTACTTCCGGATCTACTGTCGTATTGTACACATCTTCGTGGTAGTTTTCCATGTTTGTCCCTGGTTATTTTTTATTGCTCTTATGTCCTTTTATCTCGTCTTAATCTCTTTATTTTCGTCCAGAACACTCTGGTATTCATTTTATGTAGCTCTATTATCTCTTCACCCATTTTCCTCCAGGAATATTGTTGCTTGCACTACGTTTCTTCTTCTTTTGTATACTTTCTTATCTTCCATTTCTTTTGTTTGGACGTATCTTTTCCATGCTGTTTTTTTTCCTTTGCCATTTTTCTTATTTCTTCTGTCCACCAACTTGTCATTTTCGTGTGTTTGTTGTTTTCTTGTCCCACATGTCCTTTCCGCTGCTTTCTTCAGAGTTTCCTTGGAGGTTTTCTTTGTAGTTCTTCGTCTGGTATTTTTCTCCTCTTTCTGCATGTTTCAGTTTGTTTGTTGCCAGCTTGCTATCGTTGCCTCCTTCCTGCTTTTTGGTTAGTCTGGTGTGATATATTCACATGGTCATATCAAGAAACGATTTTACTTTCTAGTCCTGTGTCTCACCCCTCCAGAAATCTAGGTCTATTGCAACGCTAGTGAAGCGAAATTTGTAGCACTTCCAACAAAACGATGTTGCCTCTTTGAAGGCCTTCTCATTGGCACTTAAATTAAAAAGGTGTCTTTATGGAATTGCAGGAAAATAAGGTTAAGTTGTGTAAACGAATAACTCTCAAGCTTTTTGAAGGCGATGTTAATGATGCTGCTAGGGTTCTCTGCTCCTCTGAATGTAAACACCCACCAATGCATAGTGAGGTAAATTATCCTCCCGTTTCTGTTCTTGATTTCCGTTTAACATCCTAGGAAACCATAAAGCTCTGCAATGTTGGTGTTGCTTACTTTTTGGGCTCTTTAACTTATCTACCCGAATTCGTTTTCTGATTGATCTAGAATGAGTTTTTTCATCGATCTCGGAAAATGCACTACCGTTGGTTAGGTACATGTTGATAAATACTCCAAATGGGGTTGAATTAATTTACATTGTGAACTAGTGAAAGGGCCAACGTAATCTTTAGTGTGGACTAAAGCCGAACTGGGGTTGTGCAAGGAGGAAAATGAAACGAATATGTAATGTTTAAGCAGGAAATTGTGGACGAATTTTATCGTTTATGGGTGGAGATGGTGTTGGGCGAAAACTCTCTTGGTACATGTTGGTCGTTCGGATGCAGGGCGAATAATTGGTTTGGTTGTGGAGAAGGATTACACGTCTGTGGGAGCTGGATAACTTGTGTGTTAGGGTAAGGAAGGAATCGAAGAGCATAACATAACTAGTTGTAGTAGGTTGTCTTAAACACGTTATTTTTTAAAGAAAAAAAATCCAAAATCCAATGGAGCAGGAGAAATACCATTGCTTCAGTTGGTGGGAAGCGTTTTTGAATGCCTTGACGCGACAGTAAAATTAGTGGGGGGGGGGGGGGGGGGAGGTTTAAGCAAAGCCGGCGGCGTAATTGTCTACCGTACATAGTAAACTTAACCTGCAACAGTATAAATAAGAACTGAGTTGATCAATCGCTCTTGTAGTCCAGCACGAATTAGCTCAAAAATATTACACTGTGACTGTTCTAGAATTGTTAATTCATGGCATATATAATTTAAAGACGGAAAAATTCGTAAAAAAATGCTTCGTAAAGTTACAACTTTAAAACATAATTTTATAATGGCGTTATGGGCTATTTTAGATGTTACGCGAAGTTTACCAAAAAGTAAGCATAATTTTAAATTAAATACCACGTTTATAGCAGGGAAAGTGAAAAACGCCGAAAGACTCTCAAAAAATATTCACACCATAATTACTCTATTTTAGTATGCGTCATTTCTCGAAAATGTTATGGTTTATCGTAGTCGTTACCATACGCTAATTGACGTTATGATACAATCAAATTCGGTTGTTTGCGACCCACTCTACTGTGGAAAAACTGTATTCCCATTATGGCTTTGCATTTAGGTACACTTAAAACAGTCCCTCTTTCATTGTGACTTCTCGACAATGTAATTCAGTTACAATTATTTGCAAATTCCATGGATAGTGAAATGATTAGTAAAACTAAAGAACTTGGAAGGACTTTGTCATTGGCAAAATAAAGAAAAAACAATAGTCTTAAAAATGAAATATTCTTGGGAACTATGAGTCTGTTGTTTGTAATGAACTCTGCAAAAATAAGTTAACACTATTAGACCTCTGAGTGCTGGAGTACGATAGGAGAGTGGACAGGGTCCACGCGGCGTACCTAGGCCTCAAATTCGGCCCTTTGTACTACCTCCCCGACTAGAGTCACTCGACTCCTCAACGTCACGTGAGATGAACCTAACAATGCTGGAAGGGGAGGCGGATCCACTAGTAGCCATGTCCGGCCAGGACACCCCCAACATGAATCGTCTCAGTTGGACTAGAGTGAGACATTTGCAAGGTATTTGGTGTGTCGTCTCGTCGTCTGTATAAGATCCTCTACAAGATGGTCATTCTACTAAACCCATGCGGTGCATGTGCTTGTTTGGTTTGCAGTGCCCAGAAAGTATGCCCACAAGTAACCTCAGATTCTTTCTTGATAGCCCTGTGCAAGAACACTCCAGGCTATGAGATGGTCGCATTATGTTCATTTTCCACCTACCCTTGTGCTTGGTTTGACTGTCTTGAGTTATTGAGTTGGTTCCAGTTGTAACTGTAAGTGGAAGAGTCGGCTCTGGACCATAAAACACCTGCGTTGAGGTCAGTCGGGCTAACTCATTGGCTTATTACCTTCCGTTCCAGCGTGCTTTTTGACCCATGCGAACTCAAGGGTGTTGCTACTTGCTCTACTAACCTGCTGTCCCTGGAGATTCTGATACGTTTGTTCTTTGTATTATGCATAATGAACCTGCCAACTCTGATTCCAATCAGAGAAATGGGAAGTAGAAAGTTTGCCTAGTGGTTGGGTGATATGGAAGTTCAGTTCTTTGGAGTAAATACCAGTGCCCGTTCCTTCCATTGTTTTAGATCCATCCGTGAATGAATATGTCTCGACTCCATAGCAGCGCATAGGTTTGATCACGGCAGTGTACCTGCACACTCAATTGCATGGCGATTTTCCCAGAAAGCTCTATTTGCTTCTTCGGCTTTGTTCCAATTCCATTTTTTTGTCAAGTGTGATTGTTAGATATTTCACTGACTCTGAAAATTGGAGGTGCTTTTCAAATAGCGGAGGAGTTCAAAGATCTATCTACCTTTTGTTTCCTGTGAAGGGAACAAGCTGCTTTTTATGTAGGGTTGCTGGACAAGGAGTGTTCTCTTCACCATTGCATCAGTCTGCATAGAGTAGTTTCAAATTTGCCGGTTATTAGTATGGACATATCATCCGCATATCCCAGCATATAGTAGCCACTGTCACGGAGGCGATAGAGGAAGCTGTTTACAGTTAAGCTCCACAATAGTGGTGACCCCACCTTGGGGGCAATCCTCTCACCACTGTGCAACTTTTTTGTCTCCAATGCTGACGTGCACATCTCTGAGATTCAGCA